AATTTTGGCCCTGGAGCAGAGACCAGAAGTTCAAGGTTTTAGCCCTGTTGGAAGCCAGTCTAGGCTACCCCATACCTTATCTCAAAATAAACAAAGCATAAAATCAAAACAAAAAAAACAAACAGCACTCAGGAGGCAGAGGCAGGTGGATCTCTGTGACTTCTATGCCATCCTGGTCTACAGAGCGAGTTCTAGGCCAGCCTGGGTTACATAGAGAACCCTGTATTAATAAAACAAAAGCAGAGACAAGCATTGGAGAGCTGGCTCAGCAGTTAAGAGCACTTACTACTCTTGCAAAGGACCAGAGTTCCCAGCACCACATGGCAGCTCACAACTGTTCATCATTTCAATTGCAGGGGCTCTAAACACCCTCTTCTGACCTTCTTGGGTACAAGGCATGCACCCGGTGCACATACATACAAGCAGGCAAAACATTCACACACATGAAATAAATATTTTAAAAATAGAAATGAAACGAAACAAATCTTGAAACTAAAAGAATTAAGCTGTGCCCTAGGGGAGGGTTCTCCTCTCTCTCTCTCTCTCTCTCTCTCTCTCTCTCTCTCTCTGGACATACTTAGGATCGCTCTTACCTCTCTGTGTTGTCATTCTTCCTAATTACCCACGATACTTCAGAAGTGTTTCAGACACAGGATAAAAGGTGTAATGAGTTAACAGAGTCTAATGCAGGCAGTGCTGTGTTGCTGGCCTTGAGCCCCACTCCTGTATTTGGACTTGGTAAATGTGTCTTTCCCCAAACAAACCAAAACAAGAAAGTCTTAAGTCACTGTGAAATTGGTAATTAAAGATCCTTTTAGATTTCCATCCAAAGTCATGAAGTCATGAAGCTGGTAATCCTTTAAGAAATGGGCCAGTTGTTGATGACGCACACCTTCAATCCCAGCACTAGGGAGGCAGAGGCAGGTGGGTCTCAGTGAGTTTGAGGCCAGCCTGGTCTACAGAGAGAGTTTCAGGACAGCCAGGGCTACACAGAGAAACCCTATCTCAAAAAAGCAAGGGGGGAAAAAAAAAGAAATGTGGAGAAGTGGGCATACTGTCTTTTAATAACTGGGGGTGGCGCTGGAGAGATGGCTCAGAGGTTAAGAGCACTGGCTGCTCTTCCATAGGTCCTGAGTTCAATTCCCAGCCACATGGTGGCTCACTAACATCTGCAAAGATCTGGTGCCCTCTTTTGGCCTGTAGGCATACATGTAAGCCGAATACTGTATACATAATAAATAAACTAAAAAAAAAAAAAAAAAAGCAAATCTTTGCCAGTGAGCTGCTAAGTCCTTAGCCCTTTATTTACCTGTTTGTTTTTAAAGATTTATTTACTTTTGTTTGTGTCTGAGCGAGTGTATGCCACATCTGTGCAGATGTCCTCAGAGGCCAGAAGGAAGCATTGGATCTCCTGGAGTTAGAGTCACAGACAGCTGTGAGCTCTCTGATGTGGTGCTGAGACTTGAATTTGCGTTCTTTGGAAGAAAAATTGATCTTAACCAATTCCTCCAGCCCCAGATTTATTTTGAGACAGGCCTGTTTGTCTCATGCTGGCTTTGAACTCCTGATCTTCCTGCCACCACCTTCTGAGTTCTGGGATTTCAGGCATGTACTGCAGCCTGACTTTCTGGTCCAAGGCAAGGTCTCAATAAATTGTCCATAGGTAAGCCTGACTTTGATCCAGCTGTCTCAGCATCTGGAGTGGTCACAGGGGTTGGTTTGGTTTTATTGCAGCTCTTTTGTGTATGGTAGTTATTGCTATTTTTATTTAAATTATATTTATTTTTTGGTGTGATCACAAATTCAGCAAGTACTGTGTGTAAATAATACTTCATTACAGGTAGAGTGTGGTGGCTCACACTTGCAACCACAGGATTCAGTTGGCTGAGCAAGAAGATCACCTTGGGTTTGATGCCAGTAGTGAGTTCAGGCAAGCCTGGACTATGGTGAGACTCTATGAGAAAGTCAATAATAATCACAATTACAGCACTTTAGTAAATATAAAGAAATAAAATTCAAATTTAAAACTCATGGTGACATGAGTGTCTTACAACAGTTCAAAACTCTGGAAGGCATCCTTTTTAATAGGTTTAATAAGGTTTAATCACGGATATTTGCTTTTTAGTGAGAACTTTTTTTGTATTTTCAGTGATTATTGAGCCCATTCCAACTGGACAAGCTGCTAAGGACTATTTAAATTTGTATGTAACGCCAACCCTACTTCAAGGACTCACGGAGCTTTGTAAGAATAAACCAGCAGACCCTTTTGTAAGATACTGTTGTTTTTAACACTAGAGAATATTGTTTATCATTTTCATGTGCAAAACTGTGTTTGTATTTGTTTTTTTTGTTTTTTGTTTTGTTTTGTTTTTGAGACAGGGTCTCATTATATAGTCCTGGCTGTCCTAAACCAAGCTGGCCTTAAATTCAAAGATCTAATTGTCTCTGCCTCCTGAATGCTGGGATTAGAGATGCACCACCATGTCCAGATAATATTTATTCTTTTAGTCTGAGTTCGAGGCCAGCCTGGTCTACAGAGTTAGTTCTAAGACAGCCAGGGCTACACAGAGAAATCCTGTCTCAAAAAAACAAAACAAAACAAAACAAATAAGCTGTTTAGCTGGATGTGGTGGTACACACCCTTAATTTCAGCATTCAGGGAGCAGAGGCAGTTGGGGATCTCTAGTAAATTCCAGACAGCCTAGGCTGTGAGATCTGTATCAAAAATCTTTTCTAGAAAGATACTTAATTTTCTAGTTGATAGGTTCATTATACACAGGAAAAAAATAGTTAAATGTTTATAAATGTTTATTAATTTTATTTTTTTCTTTTCCATAGAGTTGGCTAGCTGATTGGCTGCTGAAAAATAATCCCAACAAACCTAAACTTTGTCATTTTCTAATAGAAGAAGAGCCTTAGTGCACTCTGCAGGACAAGTAGTGAACTATCTTACTGTAAAGAACTGTCCATCTACTTTTTAAAAGATGCCTCTTTCCTAATGGTTTAAATAACTACATGGGTAATAAACTATTTTTTCTTTACACTAAAAACATGCATGTGTCTCTGTGTGGGTAATATAGCTGCATGTGAGTGCAGGAACCTGAGGAGGTCAGAGCATTGGACCCTGTGGAGCTGGGGTTACAGGTAGTTGTTAAGTCATCTGACATGAGTGTTGGGAACTAAGCTTGGGTCTTCTGCAAGAGCCTATGCATTCTTCAACACTAAGCCATCTCTCCCGGCCTAAAATATTTTAAAAAACACTTTCCTAGTTATTTGTTTTAGTGTGAATATTTGTCTGCGTATATAGTTGTATACCATGTGAGTACAGTGCCTGAGAAGGCAGGAAGAGGCATCAGATCCCCTAAAACTAGAGCTACAGTTGTAAACCACCATGTGGATGCTAGGAATGGAACCTGGGTCCTCTACTATATATACATGTACATATTTACACGTATGTGTACACACTCACGCACACGTGCGCGCATACACACACACACACACACACACACACACACACACACACACACACACACACACACTTAGGGGAAAACGACAACAGCATAACAGATGCAGGAGCCTGGCATAGTGTCTCACACCTATGAAAACAGAATGTTGGATTTCTCCAGTAGGACTTAAGTTTGAAGTCCATTGGGGCTGCACCGTCAGACTCTGTCTTGAAAACAAAAACAAGTGGCAGACATGACTCAGTGGCTAAATAAAGATCCTGCTGTGTAAGCCTGGCAACCTGAGTTCTATCCCCTGAACTCATGTAAAGTTAGAAGACTTCACAAATTTGCCTCTGACCCCACATGTGTGCCATGGCAGCCATGTGCATCCTCTGTAAGCTGAACTATATAGTTCCAGCTACTTGGGCTGCTGAGGCAGAAATATCAAAAGATCAAGGTCAGAGCTGGGAATGTGGTTCAGTTGGTAGGGTTGCCTAGCATTTGTGAAGAACTGGGCTCCATTCCCAGCACCATGTAATATAGGGCATGGTGGTGCATGTCTATAAGTCCAGGATCTGGGAGGAAGATAATAAGAGGATTTGGGTTAAAGGTCATTTCAGCCTCAAAACACAAAACAGGGACTGGAGAGGTGGCTCAGTGGTTAAGAGCACTTGTTGCTCTTGCAAAAGACCCAAATCAAAAAGTGCCCTCATGGTAGTTTATAACCATCTGTAACTCCAGTTCCAGAGGATCTGATGCCCTCTTCAAACTACCAAGGGCACCAGGCATGCACGTGGTACAATACATACATGCAGACAACACACACATGAAATAAAATGAATCATTGAAAATTTAAAGAATAAAAACAAAAAGAATTTTAAGTAAGTTAAGGCCAGCCTGGGCAATTTACTGAAATTCTGTCTCAAAAAAGGATGGCCAGTAGGATGGTTTAGCAGATGTGGGGTTTACCTCCAAGAGTGATGATGGCGATCAGTCCCTCTTAAAACTGCATTATATATAAAAATAGTAATGTTCTCTTGTGTCTTTATTTTTACCCTGACAATTTTCCATTATTACCCAAGATTATTCAAGAATACCATATAGTATTAATACTTAGTTATATCTGAAGGGATTATTTTTAAAGTTTATTCTTATTATTTATTATTGTGTGGGTTGGGTGTGCATATCAGAGGACCGTTTTGTGGAGTCTGCTCTGCTTTCTCCTTCCGTGGGTCCCAGGGTTTGAACTGAAGTCTTCAGGTTTGTATGGCAAGTGCTTTTTTAAAAACCTGATGAGCCATCTAGCTACTCCCTATCCAAACAGATCTTAGATCTTAATTGTCTTCTAAAAAAAGTTTTTTTTTTTTTTCTGAGACTAGGTCTTCTTATGTAGCCCAGGCTAGCCTCCAATCCTTTAGTCTCAGGTTTCCTGATACTGGCATTACAAGTATACACCAGATATTTTTTTCTTTTTCTTTATTATTGTTATTGTTACTTTTATTCTTCCTTTCTCTCTCTCTCTCTCTCTCTCTCTCTCTCTCTCTCT